CGTACGGGAAAGCAAGCCGTTTGACGCGACTATCGAAAGGAGTAGCAAATGTTCCTTACGCATATGTATTCCTTGCAAATCTTACTTTTTGGCCAATTGTATGAGAACGCTACATGCTGATGTTAGAAAATTAAACTTTTTAGCAAGAAAAAAAAGATTAAAACAAATTGATGGAAGCAACTTAATGACATATTGCTACATGCAATCTTCCTTAAAGAAAGTGAAGCAGATACTATAAAATATTTTTATCGCAAATGGTAAAACAAAAATAATATCGTGTTTTTATAATTTTGGCAAAGATTTTTGCTTATTATGCAACCACGTCTTAATTTGCGGCGATGTACGATTTGCAAGACAAGGATAGTTTTTCCTCGTCTCCTGAATTTCTTTTAGAGACGGCAATGTATGATTTGCCATATTTTGCGCAAACGCTTGAAGCACTGCTTCTTTTTCGTCGTCTGTCCATCGCAGCCTTTTTGTTTTTCCATAAGGAGATGCTAGAACACAGGATATTATATAATTTAATAATCATGAAAGTACTATACTATTTGTACCAAAGTTTAACATAAGAATATTTTTATTGATGCTATAGTTGAACACTCATTCTATATTTATATTCTATATTTATAGATAGTAGACATTTTATTGTATTTATTTACTTTTAAATATTAAGACATTTGTATCTATGCTTGGCATAAATATAATGAAGAATATATTGCATTAAGTATGTAAATCTGATAAAAATAGAAGGAAAGAGTGCAATAAGATATAATAATATACGTTTACTTTTTACATAAAAATGTTAAAAATATATTGAAAATGTAAATAATATATAAATATTTTTAAGACTAATTACTAGCTATTAATATAAAATAAAGAAAATAAACTTGAATTATTGGATATCTTATAGCCATGGATTGGCAACAGATAAAAAAAATACTTACTACTACGTTTCCGTTTTCCACCTTGTTTATCAACTTGGTTTTGACATATTTTGGAATCATTTTGGGTGTTACTCAATGGCATATCTATAATAAACAATGTATTATAACTATTATGAATAATGTAGTAAGAATGTAGTAAGAATACTTTTATATAAATTACTCATAAGCATTAAAAACAATGTAAAACATGTAAATGTTAATTATATTAATATTTATTAATTATAGTTTCAATGTCCTATATAACGACTTAAACATCATATAGATAATAATACCTGCTTCATCACTGGTATTAATATTAATCTTATCTCTTGAGTTATTTTCCTTTTCAGACTCGTTGTCCGATGCAGAATCATTACTCGCATCCTGTTCATCTCCTTGCACAGCTTCTAAATATTGAGAGATTTTGAGTATATCTCTACTTGCCTGTGGCTGTCGATAGTGTTCTCTATGGATTTTATCAGCATGGCCCATAAAGTTGGCTAGATCCGAAACATCAATGTCATTGAGATTGAGTTGAATGCAATGTGTAGCTATATGTTTTCGTAATGTTGTTCCGCGTAAAGTTGTTGACTGGCTTGCATTGCAGTCTCTTGCAAATTTGCGCATTAAGATACAAGCCCTTAAATATCGGTATCTATTTTTGTTGATAGAAGGTAGTCCAAAAATATATGGATTCTTTTTTGGTACTTTAGCTTCCTGGCGATATTTTAATATTAAAATAATACAGTCAAGGAGATCGTTTGACAATAGTACGGGCACTGTACGTCCCAACTTCCCTCTGATACAAAATCGGACATATCTCTCAGCAATTTTTCTGTCTTCTACGGATAATGACTTGTATATGTCACTGTACATATTTTTATTTACTTTTTCATAATTTTCAAAATCTTCTATGTATGCTCGTTCGATTTCTCCTGCACGTCGTCTATTAAAAACATGAATCGAAGTCAATGTCACTTCTGCTAAAGAGATCCATTTGTCATATGTAAAAAATTCTTTTAATGCCGCATAAGCTTCAGTCCTTCTTTTTACCAAATATGAGTGCAATTTTTTAATATCTTCCAGTGACGGCAGATTTACTTTCTTATGCCTTTTATGCGCCGATTGCGTTTCGAAAACAGTCCTATTTACGCTGGTACCAATATCTACTACTAATAATTTTAAGAAGTCTTTAACTAATTTCTTTTTCTCTTCATCTTGTTTTTTGATGCATTCCATTACAAGAAGATTTCCTATATGTTTAATGAGAGTTGACAAGTTAGCCGCTACTGCAGGAGTTGCATAAAGTTGTTTCTCATTATCATATCCTGCAACTTCGTTAATCGCAGAAATGCAGTCATCGTATATTTGGGGATAATATATCGATTGAAAATCTTCTATCTTTTTATTTATCTCTTTCAGTACTAATAGAAAACGGCCAAGAAGACGTAGACGTGCACGAATCATGTCGTGCTGGTGTTGCGCCTTATATTTCACACACAACTTGTTACCATATAAGATCAGTAATTTGTCATATCTTATAATACGTGTTACTAGATCATCTCGCATAACGGGAAACACCGTTTTTCTTAAAGTCTCATTTGCAAGTGGATGTATTCTGCCTGTAATTTGCCTGCCCATAATCATAATAGTCTTATTTTTTCGAAAATCCTTTTTAATGCAAACTCGTGAATGATGTCGAATACTACTTTTTGCAAAAAAGTCTTTACATTTTACACAGGCAATGAAATCTGTAGCAGCCTTATTGGCTTTTTTATTTGGACGTCTACACACAATTAATTGCCCAGTATTAAATTCTGGGTTCGTGTTAAATTTGAAGGTACCAGCCTTTCGAATGCCATCTATTATTTTCTTCCTTTCTGGGTCTTTTTTAGACAAAACGGCAAACTTTTTCACTTCCGGCTCGTCACGGTGTACTGTCTCTAAATGTCGTGGAAGCTGTGCTTGTGGCTTCATACAAAAAGTGCAATAGTATCGTTTCCTTGATTTCGTGTTAGAGTTTTCCACATACATGACTTCATCGTTACATGCTGATGTACCAACAACATTCGTGTTTGAAGTATCAAAACTTGAAATAGAAGTTGTAGTCTGGTTAACAATTGGCGCGTGGTTTTGTGGAGATTCACTGTCTAAAGAACTGTGTTCTGAAGGTGTATAATCTGCATCTTCATCATTATCATTATCTAGTGTAAAATAAGAACAAAAAAATTAGATAACTATGTGAATCAAGGGACACAGCCCCTATGTACATACAATATAATATAAATTTGTATATCAATGTATACACGTTAGCTATATACGCAATAGACACATAAAAGACGACAAAAGAAAATAATACTATATATCAAAGTAGTGAAAAATTTATTATCATATTTCAAAAAATATATTTAAAACATTATATTGAGCATATATTACTTAAGTTTAAAATATTAGCATTATTTCTTAAAAATATGCAGCAAGATCAACGTTATGGGAACTGTCCATTAATATAAGCATACACAAATTACTATGCAATTTGTTTATTAAAAATGCATTTCGAAAATTATTTATAAAAAGTAATGAAAATCATACATACCATTAGATATTGAAACATCGACAATTTCTGGGTTAGTATTATCTTGGCAAGTAGGAAGCGCGCATACGTTTCCTGCATCTACAGATGGTTCTTCTAAACACATAATTATATGTATATAAAGTATAATTTATTGCACAATATGATGGCACAGCAAAAAACCAGATATCTCTCATAGATACTATAAATAAATTAGAAGGAATATAAGAGTCAGTTACTTATAAAGAAAATTAAAGTAAAAAAATTCAAAAATATTTTATTATTAATAAAAAATATTATCAGTACTATTTTTCCAGGGAACGCTATAGCTGATTTACATTCTAACAAGTATCTTATTTGTTATGTGAACTATGACTATGTTAAAAAATAACATTAAAGTCCGTATCAGACTACGGATTGGGATTGAGATTGGATTAAAATTTAATCAATCAGAACAGAGAAAACTGATTTCAAGTTTAGTAAACTTTGCTCTGATTGGTCAAATTTCAATCCAATCTCAATCCCAATCCGTAGTCTGATACGGGAATTACGACATGTATTATCCCGATACTACTATTACGTTTTCCAAATATTTTATTTCTTGTTTCTAACTAACTTATTCTTACTTTTCACATATTCTATTAATCATATGCTTGACATGAACATACCAGTAGTGCTAAATGTCAATCGCTTAACACACTTGTCCACATTGTTAAATGCACAGCCATTATATGCAGCTATAAAATAATAGGAAAAATGTATACACTCATTTAGAAAAAAGTATGTGTTGTATTTTTATAGTTTGTAAAGTAAAGTATTGTCTATTATACTTTGCTCCAATATACAAGTTAGCACATTGCAATATTTCATCACATTAATATATTATCATATATAGTATACGTCATATGCGAAGTTTAATAAAATATGAAAATCATTATTGCTTACAAGAAATTGAGACTTCAATGTTTTCGCTTTCTGTATTAATATCTCTCTGATTGATCACATTTACGCCATACAAATTGCTGTTAATATCTGAAATTGCTGAAATCGAAAGATGGATTCAAAATATACTCTATAATATTTATAATAGGTAATATTTACTAGAGTATTTCTTGACATTATCAATGTACTCACCAATTACAGGAAGCATCATATCACATTCTTCAGTAAAGAAATCTTGGATAGAGATTCCAGTTTCGTCATTTCCACCACTTCCTTCATTAGAATGTATTGTTGTAATAGTTTCTGACATAAACATATAGATAAGGGATTATAAAGCATTTATAACAATTAGTACTTACAAGATAGGATTTCTAAATAATGGTATACTCACCATCATGGGCATCACGTAATAAGTCAACGCTATTCAGTGAATTACATTTTGGACTGCAGTTCTTAGTCTCATTAGTAGTTGTATTTTTATCATCAGAATCCCTGATATTGCTTGTATATACTACAAAGACAAAAATGGGGTATATACATATAATATTTCTAAAAATCTGCATTTATAGAAGTTCTTGTATCTATATGTATACTAACTACAAGACATAGGCATAAGAATATTCTTCTGGCAATCAGAGTTTGAATAGTTGGCATCATTCTCATCGTTTTCATTATTAGTATATTCATCATTACAGTTTATCGTTTTGTTAATATCTCCTGTCCATATAAAAACAGATTAGCATATAACGTTTGTAATAATCTGCAAATACAGGAATATCTCTAATAAGTACAGTCTTACCATGAGACAAAGATTTATCAACGTTTCTCCTACGACTGTCCTTTTGATTGAGAATATCAGTCTCGTTATTGCACTCATCGTTATTTGCACTCATTTTATCACAGTTCATTGATTCTTTATTTCCTAAACAAAAATAATAGACCTAAAGTACATTCGTAAATTGCCAATATAATGAAACTTTTATTTCATCCGGCTATAATTGGCAAACACTCATCTTGACGACGAAGACCAAAACCAATGGTCGAATCGTCACGATGGGTGTTTGCTTATTATAGCCGGATGAAATAAAAGTTTTAAAAATAATAGATTTTCGTGTAACATTTTTAGACATTTGTATTTAAGACAAGTATGTAAACAAATGCGTGATCATAATTAGATGCGAACACAAGAATTTTCATAATGAGTGTCCAAACAGTTGATATTATAAATCTCATCGTTTTTAGCACATCTATCATTACAATTTATCGTTTTGCTAATATTTTCTGAACATACAAAAAGAGCATATAATGTTTTTGTAATAATCTGCAAATATAGAAATATCTTTAATAAGTATAATGAGATAAAGACACATCAACGTTTATCTTACAACTGACGTCCCGATTAGAGATATTTATAACGATTATAGATATCTCTAATCGGGACGTGTCAGTTGTAAGATAAACGTTGCATGATGTGTCTTTATCTCATTATACTTATTATAAAAATATTCCTGTATTTGCAGATTATTACAAACATATGCAAGCAACGGCTTGCAATATTAAAGTCTACAGTTGTTGGAATATTTACTAAAGGATACTAGATTGCCATAATACTTGTAATAATAACCCGCATTTAGAAGCAAATTATATTACAAATAAGTGTTTACTCACGATGAAATGTTTTCACGTGAATGTTATGACAATCAATGTCTGGTTTGTGTAGTGTTACAGTCTCATCTTTATTTGCACTTGTATCATTAAAGATTTTATGTTTGGTAGTACCTAATTAAAAATAGTATGAAATAGTAGTATTTCATTCAAATAATAGTATCATTTATAACACTGCGCGGACACCATGAGCCTTTTAAGGCACAGCTGATTTTTCATTTATACAGTTTTTACCGTTTTCTCCTGTCGTTTCAATACTTAAAAAAAAATTGCAAACTTTCTGGCCTATAGAAATCACTTTTCGAAACCTTAAAGATGATGCATGAATTTGTATAGATTTTGTTGTAACACAGAAGCGCTTTCAAAAACCCTTTGGACTTAAAAGTCCCAGGGTGAGTGCTCCAGAAACACGGTGTCAGTGCAGTGTTAATGTAATCTATTTTAATATTATATTTATAGCATCGACATATAGTATGGACTACGCCAGGTATAGAAAAATATAACCGGTGTGACTCACCGGTGGAAGAAAAGAGATAGCGACTGGTAGAGGTCGCGTACAGACAAAGAGGGAACGAGGTTAGGACACTTTTTGAAAATTTTTATGTAGGAATCGCGTGGTCCATACTTATATGTCGATAATTTATAGTAACACATAGTTCAAGAACACGTATAAGGTTAAGAAGTAAGAACATACCACAGAATGTTGGTACAATAACGCTTCTTCGATTATTGCAATCTAGAATTTGTGTACTAGATTTATCACTTGCAAGTTCTTTGTAAGTTTTGTTGCATGATACATAAGGTTTCTTGGTATCAATATTTGTAACTATCGTCTGTAATAGCTTCTTATCCTCTGTAATAATAAAAAAGTTGTATTTGTACATTTTGTTATTCATTTTTAAATTGAGAGGAGTACGTGACCTTTGATTTACTTGGCAAGGTGAACCTAGCAAAGTTACATTCAGAATAATATTTTGAATCAGAAAAGTATATTTAACGTTTTATTTATAGTCCAAATGCTAAATTTTCCAATTATTTTACTGCAATCAGTAATATGTTAATGCGATATAATATGAACAGTACAGTTTAATGTATGAAGTATTTTCATACTTACTGTTTTTTGCTATTATGGTTGCGGGATATCTAAATCCATCTCTGTATCTGGCTTTTGTAATATGATGTTTAGTGGCATAAACCTGGTTAATAGAGCACACATAGTGCACATTATCGTAAAATCTGACTATTGCGTACATATTAGAACTTTTAAGTAACACTTAGGCTCGTCAAGTGGACCGCAGCCTTAACGTAGTTTATTAGATAGCACTTTTAAAATACAAAGCAAGCGTAGAAGACTTGAGAAGATCGTTTATTCCTGCAGGAAAAAATCAGAACAATGAAGAATCGTCAACAATGCAATATAGAATGTAACGGTCTTTTGAAATACTTTTCGCGCGCGTTAGTCGTCAATCACGTGTTCGTATTCTGCTGGACTGCGTTTTATAACTTTAGGCTGCATCTCCATGAAGAAAGAAATAGCGAAACGAAATTAAAACGGAATTACTTTGATTAGCTAATATGCCACCTAGAGAGCTCCTATCTGGAGATTAGCCAATCAGAGTAATTTTATTTTAAATTCCGTTCCGCTATTTTTTTCTCCAAGGGCATGCAACCTTATTACAGTTTTTGCACATAGAAACGCTAGCCGCGCAGCGGAAAGCGACGGACGCTTTAGCCAATAAAAATCTGGTTCTGGAAATTCGGTACGTTAATTGGCTACCTCGTGCTGTGCGGCAAGCATTTCGGCCAATGACGTATATAATGGCCGCGTTCAGCAGACACAACTGTTGAGTTCGTCTTATCAACACTCTGCGTTGATTGGTTGGTTCTAAAAGTAAGAGCCAATCACGTTCGACTGCTACTGAGCGGCTTGGTCTGCTGAACGCGGCCAATATGTATATGGCCGATAATCGTCAAGGGATCGATTGTGTATCTTCAAACGAGGTGAAAATTACAAAAGTGAACAGATTGCATTAGATTTCGACAAATAAAATCTAGTGTAGACACTCTAGTGAATTTCCTCACTTTTGTAATTTTTTCCTCATTTCAAGATACCCTAAAGACTAAAAAGTCGACTTTATGTCGACTTGAAGTCGACTTCTACCGAAACTGACCTGGCAGAGAAGTCGATTTTTTTAAGGACGAAAGTCAACTTGAAGTCGGCGAATGTCTCAAAAACCGCCGATAAAAGTCGACTTCCCGTCATGACAAAAAGTCGAATTCCCGCCAACTTTTAACGTCGATAAAATAAACCGCCGCGTACGTCTGGAGGTCGATTATATATCTTGAAACAAGGTGAAAATTACAAAAATGAACAGATTTTACTACATTTTGATAAATAAAATCGTGGATACGCTAATGAATTTTTTCACTTTTGTAATTTTTACCTCATTATTTCAAGATACACAATCAGGATGTCAAGCGAGTTTTGACGCTGTAGTAGCAGGATATATAAACGTAGTGTATCAATGTATGACTGAGAACGAAGCTAATAACACTGTAAGGCCGAGAAGAAGACAGCCAGAGTCAATCTTTTATAGCACCACTTGATCTAGGTGCATTGGAAAATACAGCCGAGTTTGCGAAAATATTTATATCAGGAGAAATGTCTCAAAGATTGTTCAAGTATATTTATTTACATATATTACATATATTACGTAGTTTTTAAAATTAATATAAAGTTTTTATATAGAGTAAAATAAATTTAAAATTGATACTTTATCGATATGGGAGGTCAGTAGTTTTAATGGCCCTACGTGTGTATTATTTGCAAAATAGCCCAAAAAATACATCGAAATTTGCCGGAAAAGACATTAACTCTCGAGGAATATCCTAATCTGGATATGGGTGGAAAAGAAAGTATAAAGATCACTCCTGCACTTGAATTAATCAAAGCAGTATAAAAATATCGTCAAGTAAGAACCATCAGTTTCCAAAAATATCTATAAAAATGCTATAAAAAATTTTTTTTACCGCGTCATCGTCATTATTTTCAGTATTCTTATTTTCCGCATAATTTCTAGATAACTGGCCTTTAATGTCAGCATAATTGTGCTGTTCGATAAAGCAAATATATAATTAAATTAGCGTTACACAACACAGTTTTAATGTTATTTCATGAATCAAATGAATGATGAATCAGCGTACCAAGTCAAGCCGTATTAGATATTCCCAACATTGGTCAAACGTAATTTCAATACTGTGAAACACAGCTCTTTGTTTCGTATAGTTTGAACAACAAATTCTATATAGCCTAAAGCATCGTTCACAGATCTTTTCTTCGTGCACACGATAATTTTGTTAAAATTTGTAAAGACTATAATACAACCTAACGTTTTGAACTCTGCTATTAACTGTATATACAACTTATTCTTCATGTAAGTGTGTAGAGTACGACGTAGAGCAGGATCGTAAAGCAAGGCACTTGGAGACCTCAGCCACCTGGAATCATGCGAATATGTAGCATTTTTATATAACAGTAATATGTAATTAAGTAATATAATTGATAACTGTATAACAAATAGTAATAACGTACCGATAGAAGTGGATCAGCTGATAGTCCGCGAATACATTTTTATAAACGGATACCTCGAGCAACCATGCGTTTACTATGCTTCGTAATGTTTTAAACGCCGGATTGCACAGAGTAATTTCATCGTAGCTAGGAATAACTGTCACGGCATCACCACCCACTGCCATGTCCTGTTGAATAATCCCAACTTATGTAGTCGCAACATTATCAATTCGAATAAATTAAGTTGTTGCAAATGAGTTTTTGAAAGGTACTAACGTTAATTAATTTAGATAAGCATTTTTTAAAGCAAGTTTTAGTTAGTATATAAAGTTACAATAAAATTGGAATAGAGTACTAGTTGATAATAGTTGTATGTAAAAACAAACATATTATAAGATATTCAATAAACACAGATAGAAAACTTATATTACATTTACAACAAAATTAATAAAAACAGAATATTATCCTGTATTAGATCGCTTTACGTGTAAAATGTTATATTAATAGAAATATAGTATTAAGTGCAAATCTAATTTATCATTCTGCTATCTCATTCTGTTATAATAAATCAAAACTAGAACAAAATAACAATAAATATATACGATTCCCTTGTATGTACATACATACATAATGACAGTTTGCATTATTTATCAGAAGTAATTCATATTTCATATTATACTTTTTCTTAGGTACATAGATTGTGCATTTATATATATCAATATTCTAATAAAAGATATAGTTTTGTTTATTTTTTAGGTTACTTTGCAAGAACTAGTAGAATTTATTGGAAAGAAAGTTGTTCATTATAGAATTATATAGGATAAATATATACTGTTTATTATAGGATAAATATAAACTTCTCATCAGATAAAACGAGTAACATAAATCATTAACTATAGAAGATAGGAAAACTGCTAAGAGATATGACTTATTTTGTATCAGAAAAAATTTGGGACGTATAATATCTGTTTTACCGTGATCAAATGATTATTGATTAGATTACTTTAATCGTGAAAATTTATAAAGAAGTTAATGTAAAAATCTTTACAATGTAAAGATCTTTGGATAACCTTTTATCAATAAAGATTAATCTGACATCTAAGACCATGTTTTAATTTGAATATTGGCAAGAGAATTGCCACACAAGTCGGTCAACTAGTTGCGCGTTATGAAAACAGTAACACAATATTCAATTCAATTTCAATGATTTTGACATTTCAGGGATTTTATCACATTTATGCCATTCTGATAGAATATATGGAGAACATTGTTGGTAACCACAGGCAGAGATACATTCAATATTTAAAAGCTGTACAAGAAAAGAGTCATTGATGTGATCAAACTGAACAACTTTTGTTAAGTAATTCGTATCCGACGACGATTCCTTAAAGTGCTAGGCGCCAGATCAATCTAACCCTTTTAAGTTTGTTGTCACTTTCCAGAGACACTCTGTATATGTAGCCTAATTATATTCAACAAACTTGCGTTTCAATGGAAACTAAATTAGATACTACCTTACAAGCTTAATGACACCAAATACGCGTTGGTGCCCACTCTGTATTGTGCATATTAATTTTCCTCTACGTCCAAGACGTACCTTCCATTGTGAACAACCAAGCATCATTCATAGCAGCATTTGGTCCTGTGCAACCTCCTATATATTTTCCACACGCACAAGCATATAATTATCTAATTATATTTATTCTGACATTAATAAAGAGAAATTTTAATCTACTGTTTCTTATGTAAATAAAATTAATACAAGAGCGACATTTATTTCAATATCAAGATGTAATCTTAAGAATAATTAAGAATACCAAGCACAAGTAAATGCTTCTCCCCAAGTTCAATTTGCGACTGGCCGTAATGTGGCTGCGGCTTCAAATTTGATGTACTTTGCTTGTGCCAGGTATACAAGTACAAATTTAAGCACCATACATCATTAGGCCTATAAAACAAGCAATATGATGCATAAATATATGATGTACATGTTTTGTTTCTGTACGTGTATACATAATTTTACAAAAATATACCTATATCCATTGCAGACTCCGCCAAAAATGACCATTAAGTTCCTATGTATTGTTGCAGAATGTGCGGATGTTGGCGGTGGAGTTTCTAATGTGTTTATAGCAGTCCATATTCGATTTTATAGAGTATACATGTAATTCATTAAATAATTTCCATTACTGAAAAAATATGATCTCTTGTAGTATGATTTATTATACAATACACGCATATTTTATTAACTTTCAAAGTCCCTTTTCTCGAAACATTAAGATGAGAGAGACCACGATAATGCACGATATATATTTTTAGGTTATAACTGACTGACAGCTGACAGCACTACAACACGAGCGCTAAACGCGCTAAACGCACTGTCTGCACTGAGCGTACACGACTAACACGACGCACACGTCATACGTCTCTTTTCAATCTCAGCCTTAAGCTATATCCACACAAACTTGCATAAGCCCATAAACATAAGCATAAGAGAATTGATTGGTCCATACACATGTGCATAAGGAAATAGACCAATCAATTTTCTTATGCTTACGTATTATGCGTTATGCAAAAATATGTGTTCCCAGCTTTAAAGCCCCTTGCACAATAGACGATAGCGATAGCGATAGCGACAGCGACAAAGTTGCCGACAAAGGTATAGCCATCTCAGTACACGTACATTAAAGTGAGATGCAACATGCCTTATTCCTTATTCCTTTATCTTATTCTTTATTTTTCTCATTGTTTCTGAGCCTTAATGGAGCGGTTTAGGTATAAATGCCCATCTACAATAGGTGTTTTAAGCCCTATTGAATTTGAGGAGAATATAATTGACTGTAATTGGTCAATTTCTTAGGGCTTAGGGCTTAAAACACCTATTGGGTGTGGGCACTAAGGAGTACTACAGCTTGCGTCATGTGTTATGCGTTAACGCATGATGAAATGAAATAATCAAAGTCTTTCCTTTTTTCCTGAGGATAGAAAAACTCTAATTAATTCATTCCTTTATGCGTTAAGTGTTATGTAAAAGTCTGTTTTTTATCTTTTTTTACAAGTTTCTCTTACTGTCGTCAAAATCGCTGAAAAATAAATATAATGTCGTCAAAGTATACAGTGTCGGCAAAGTAACCATTTCTCTGTTTCGGGTTAGTTTGACGACGTCGCTGAAGTATACGATTTACTAATAAAATTTTGACGACCGTCGTCAAAATAGCCAGAAGTCGTCAAATTTGCCAATTCGTACTAGAAATCGTCGTCAAAGTAACTGATCTACATATATATATATATATATATATATTAATTATATATATATATATATATATCAATTATATATATCAAAAGCAATTCTGTTAAATTTCTTATACATAACGCATTGTTTATAATTTTCTATATATATATATCGTACTGTTTAATATTTATAATAGAAAATTATAAACGATGCGTTATGTATAAGAAATTTAACAGAATTGCTTTTATCAAATAGAATTAATTTGCGATTAGTTGAAGGAAATAAAACAATAAACAAATCGAGTAAATTTCAGACACGTGTTACAGGTGTCCATCTGTAATTATCAAAAATATCAATACCTGAAGATATCGGTACATATACAGTTGCGAACAACATTCAGTAAGACACGCAAATAAAAATAAATAAAGAATTTTACAGTTAACGACTTATTAACATTAATCATGCTATATTGCGATTATGTTTTACGTTGAAATTGAAAAATATATACAAGGTGTACAGCTGAAAGGGTTACAGATTATTATTTTTAAAAAACTAAGCAAAATATTAAATTGTTGTTTTTTTTAGAAATAATAATTTGTAACACTTTTAGCTTTATACCTTGTATATATTGTTTATAAGATTATAAGATATATTGTTTATAAGATTAAGATGCGTAACACTACAAAAAAGCGTGATATCCGTACAAAATTACTTTTTAAAAAAAAAGGTAAAAAAAGGCGCCAAGTACACGCATAGTAGTGTACCTATATGTTGTTACGTCGAAAAAAAAAGAAAGTGGTAGTATTATACCTCGAAAAAATTTAAGTAACAAGTGGTAGACGTAATCTTTATATCTCAAAAAATCTCGAAAAAATCTAAGCAGTAGTATCTTTATTTCCGAAAAATTATAACCCAAGTAATCTATCAAAACACATCACAAAATTATGTTACCTTATCAAAAAGGAGAGTCGCGCTTCAAGTGATCTATTACAATTACAAAAAAGAAATGATATCTCTTTAAATTACAGCGCCAATTACAGAGAGAACATATATATTGCCTTAAAAAATAATTGTTGCACTACTTTGAAAAATCTTTAAATTGTGTTTAAATTTAACAAGGGAATACAAGATA